CACAGAGTCAGAGTTTTGGTCAAACTAGAGATAACATCTAGGTCTTAGTTGTGTTTCAGCTCCAGGCCCAGAAAAGCAGCAAAACCTGTCAGAGTGGCTGACTGGTTGCTGACCTCAGGACCAGCTGCATTGACTCTTGAACCCCCCCACCAATCAGTGGAGACCATGACCCTAAAAGGTCACACCTGGAAAGCTGATGAATATTCCTTTGAGATCCTCCCCTGGGACCTCCTCTAAGGTCCCCACCTTTGGAAATTGGATAAAAGTCCTCAAGGCAAAGGACTCAGCTCTCTCTCCCCTTCTCCCTCTCTCTCCCCTTCTCTCTTCTCTCCCTTCATCTCTCCCTCCCTTTCTCTCTCTAAAATCAATTTGAAAATAAGATTGAAAAATCATAACATTTTAGAGTGAAAAACAAAATCAGAGATCATCTTATTGAAGTTGATTATTTTACAAGTGAGAAAACTAGGCTTCTAATTCTTTAACTCAATAACCGGTAATTCAAGTTGCTACTCAGGATTTTGTGAGAATGAAATGAGATCATGTGTGTGGAGGACTCAGCACAAAGCCTGGCACGTGGCAAACAGTCAGTGGGGAGGGGGCCTCACTCGTGTCCGGTTGCGACACTATCTGCATGCTCATGAAATCATACCAGCAAAGGAGAGGGCAACACCTAACTTATTTGGCAAGAATTTCACGTGGGTCTTAGTAGCTTAGGTGTCTAATGAAGTCTACTCTTACTGTACAACCACAACGGAAAGGAAAGGCGGAGGAGCGTGAGTGATAATCTGTCAATGAACAGAGGGGGTAGTCACCTTTAAGGGACATCTGCAAATCAGTCGTCATTATTACACTGCAATCCAGGTCACAAAATAACATTTGGCCTTTGCATGGACTGGGATGGGCACTGTGAGCCCATGGGACACCTTGGTGAGCGTAAGGAAAAGGCCCCCCTCCCAGCAGGAGCGTCCCCGAGGGTTCAGGCCATGACAAGCCAGGGGAAGACGGACTAGATCTGAGCAAATA